TACCATCTTCCGTCTTCCTCGTCCCCCTTCATGGCCGCAATCTCACCAGGACAGGGGCTCTGTGATATCTGCAAACACGAGAGAGCGCGGCGGGAATATGCGCGCGTGAAAAGCTTGATGCAGGAGAAAATTACCGGTCTCCGGTGTTGTGGAATCGAGACACGCGTCTAAAACATCAAGTGAATTTTGCCGTTCGAAGAATCCGTGGAAACTTTGTCTACGTCTGTCTCGGTGTGATTACGGATATGAATATAAATGTAATATGTACGTTCGTTTCGTTTCCAATCTTTTCATCTCTTTTCCGGTTTTTTCTCGCGCTGGTTCCTCTTTTTTTCTTTTTTTTTTTTTTTTTTTTTTTTTTTTTTCTTTTTTTCTTTCTTTCCTTCCTGTTTTATAGCACTTGGTCGAACCGATTGGCGAAGAAAATCGTTTCTTGGAAAATGCCGCGCGAAGAGGCGAGTGATATGTAATCTCGCGCGGCGCCAGAGAAAGCTCGAAGATCTTGGGATTCACGGTGATTTGCATGCATTAGAGATCGTCGGGGATTCGAGCCGAGTCGAGAGGTCGAGAGTGGGGAAAAAAGAGTGAAAGAAACGTTTTCTGCGAACCGATCACGAAGCGGTCCCGAGGAAGTCAAAGACACTGCCTCTCTCTCTTTTTTTTTCTACGATCTGAGCGAGTTGACCTTTTAAGGATCGCCTTCTATCGTGGAATCGATTAACCCGCTGCACCGTCAGGATTTCTTTTCAACTTTCGTTTCCAATCTTTGTTTCGTGCGTGATAAATTATTTCCGAATCGGATTTAATCCTTATACTCCTTCAAGGGTATTATGTATCTTCGGATAATTATAGCGCGATTATATAACGATTTTGTTAAAGGATTATTAAAGAATAATTGACCATTATTTTTTTAAATTTCCTTTTGCTTCTTTTTTCTTACGTATTCTAGCTTTTATATCCTGTTCTAACGATATAAAATACACTTTGTATCATCTGATAACGCGAGACTAGAGTTATACAAAAGTAATGGTATCAGCCCATCAAATTCAAAGTTGCACGTGTATCTAAAAGTAAAAACTTATCGCGTCAAATTTATCCACGTGTAACAACGTTTGTCCTTTTTGTCCGTTATACGCGTAAAATACGTGACAAAGAAAGGGAAACGGGTGTACACACGTATCTATGCGCCGAATCGTTAGAAAAAGAGTCGCAACATGAAAAAAACAGAGATTACACAATCCATACCCGTGGATCTACACGCGTATACCGGTGTTTCAGCGGTTTTCTAGCTTGCGTCAGTTTAAAAGTTTCCAAGTAATCTCTCGATTTTTCGGTTACAGAAATCAAATATCGCCGGTTGATCGAGCCCGTTCACACGCGTGTTGAACGACGCGTGCACAAACACGCGCGCGCAGTTGCCCAGAGCAGCGTGTAAACCGCGAAAAGCTGAGGTGACACACGCCCGTGAAAACGCAGCCGAGCCCGCCGATGGCGGTTGTTTTTCCACCGTGTTAATGCAACGACAAAAATTGCTGCACCCACGAAACCGTGCGCGCGCGCGCGTGTTTGCGCGTGTCGGAACAACGCG